AACCTTAAAATTTTAATAGTAAGATTAAATAATTATTTAATCAAAAACTACAATAGATAAATTATATATATACACACACACACGTATAAACAATGCTGGAAAATGCTATATGCATTTTCTTATTTCTTTGAAATTAAAAATAAAAATAGTATGTCGATATTAATTTTTAATATATGCATTAGATAAAAAGATAAAAAGATAAAAAATTTGTGTATTATCCACTTAGATTCTATTCTAAAATATAGAAATAAAACTAATGCGAAAATCATAATTATATATATTCTTTAGGGATAAAATTTTAAACATTATTCACTCAAATTCCAAAATATAAAAATCCAAATGCAAGTGTTGTTAGATAGCATCAAGAGCCTGATAGTTTAATTCACTGCCTAATTAATTTTATCCTTTCTATTACTTCAAGTTAGTTTTAATTACAAATAAAATTTCTTAAAAATGTATACTATACTAATAATAATAACTATATCTTCCCACTTGTATTAATAAAAAAATTATACATTTTTTTTTATTAGATGATATATACACATTAAATATAATACAATCTGTAAAGGTCCAGCTCTTAAAGAAAATAAATTTGTATTTTTAAATACGAAAGCAAACAATAATGTTAGGGTTACATTCCCTGCACATTAAATTTGAATGCCCAATAGAGATACGGAAATGTACTTTCTACAGATGTTTGTAAAAAAAGAAACGGATAAACGATTAAAAATAAATAAATAAATATTCTAGGAGGTTAACCTCCACTAACACTTGATGATGTTCGGGAGGTAATCTACTCACAACCCTCCTGCTGATCAGCATCTGGATCTTTTTCTTCTTGATCTGAAATGGTTAATAGAAGAGTGAGTTACACTAACTCAATAAGAATATCATGCTAATCACTGATACGGAAAAACGAATATTGGTAAAAATCATAAAACAACTAATGGAGCCCTTTATTTAAGTAAATTAGTTTAATATAAAGAAAACTATTTATTCCATACTTACCGTTTCAAAATCAACCTATAAAGATAAATACTCAGATAACATTATGATTTCATGTACAAGTGAACAAGATTAGCAATTCTCTTTTTAATCTGCTTATTAGAACCCCTGAGGCTCCATAGGGATATTCATGTACTTGTAAATTCAATATCTAGACCTGTTAGTTAACTCAGCTGTACCCATATCCCGTCTGGTAATAGGCGTCAAACATACCATCACCTCGATACCCCGTCTGATATGAAGGTGAACTATGTCTCCCAAATCCTTCCAGTATTGGACTTCTTAGCCCTGTCCGGCTGAGGTATAATATCCACAGTATGATTTTTTATGTATTGGATCCGTCTACCCTTTTTCAGGGTATCCAGTAAGCCTTTCATATATATATCTACATCATCAATCAATCGTCAATTTCATACTAATATTTCGTATTCACAAATCTACAGTAGATTATGCAACAAGCGATATGTACATTAAGAATATAATTGAGATATTTTATTTCAAAACATACCAATACAGGAATGTGCAGTGAAGTACACTAAACAACCGAGAATAAAAATCAAAACCATCAATTAAATACGTACAATATAATAGTACAGGAAAATAAACAGTGAATCAGGATAAATATAAATTGGCCGGTTCCGGCTTCATTAGTGACTTGTAATTATTTTTATAATTTTTCTAATTTTTCACAAAACACAATATATGTGATTATTAAGCCTCAATTTATCGTAATAGAGAATAGGGTGAGGGATTCTTACCCGAATCGGTGATTCAAAATATCATGATATCTACTACGCCTCTTGACAGTCCCTAGGTTTCTCGAATTTTTTCTGCAAAAATTAAAAGACTTGTCACATATCCAAAAATATCCCAAAAGTCAAAATCGGTGTTAAAAAACCTTTCTGGTAAATTTTAGGGTTTCGACACGGCGCCGCCGCCAATATTCCAGCACCGGCTCAGTCGCCACCAGCAGCAGTTCGCCTCAGTCTGGCTGGTTTTGACCATTTTTACACGTATCCTTGCGAAAAAAAACATGTTATGAAGCCTCGGTTGGCCAAAAAAAATCAAAAAACTGATACCTACCAGGATGGGGTCCTTGGGTACCGCGGCTCTACCAGTCCTCCTTTACGGCTGGGGTTCTTCTTCGGCGAACCTGCACCATAAAGAGACGGTAAACACGATAGTCAAAGAATCGCGTAAAACGAAAAACGAGAGTGGGGTTATCGGAGAGGATTTTTTGTTTTAGTCGCGGCGGCTTGGTCGGGCTTTGCCTGTAATTTTTAGCTCATTCACCATTTTTTTTGCTGCAATATGGCCACAGAGATGCTCGAAACTAAATTCCGAGTGGGAAAGAGAAAATTTTATCTTTTTCAACAACCGGTGGTGGCTCCAATGCGGTAGCAATGGTGGTCAGCCTCCTTCTCCAGCATCTGGTTCTTCTTATCTGGCATCTGATTTTTCTTCTCCGACGAGGGTTGTTGCAGCTAGGATTGGGATTCCCTAGAACGCGATACTTAAATGCCCTCCCCATGTCGATCTGGGCCTTTCATTCGGGAACACATGGCTCTCTCTCGTTCCTTGGATCTATCTTAATCGGAGAATGAATCTGGACCGCACGATTGGATTGACTCTGACCATTCGATCGTATCTAAAGAGGGAATGCATCTGGGCCGTTCACACGTGCGGGATAAGATCTAGACCGTTGGATCGTTAGGATCGCTCACGTGACCTCCCGCGTGGTGTTGATATCAGCGGGGTTGCCACGCGACGTACTCTGGTTCGCCGGGGCTGCTGACCGAGTTGTCCCACGCGGCCAAACTTCTCTTTTTTTGCGATTTAACTCCCTGTTTTCAAATTTTCTTTCAAAAGCACCTCCTGAATTCAAAATTTCACTCATTTTTTAAAAAATTATTTTTAATTTTGTCCATAATTTATTTTTTCTCAAAAATTCAATAAAATTAAAATTAAAATAAAAATTTTTAATTACTTGTATATTTTTTATAAATAAAATTTTTTTATCCTGGGCCAATTCCCGGACTTGGGTATTACGCAATCAATGATCGCAACTTCTTAACAAGAACGTCCCAGAAGCACAAATTAAAATTCAAATATACAATCATCAAATTTAGAAATAGTTGGTTTTATATTCTCACTTAAATATTTGCCTTCTTATTTGTAATAACGGTAGTTACTAGTTATTTTCTTATTTGAATGATACGAAACTGGAACTACTTGTTTTGATATTTATACTAATTACTGATTTAGAATATTATTATCACTAATTAACCATGCTTAGCGCTAAAGCAGTACTAATTATGTGTTATCTTATTTCATGGATTTGACATAAACCCAAGCTTGTGTATACGGATGGTTTGGTGAATCTAACCAAAACCTTATTCACATACGTACTTTGGAGAGTAGAATTGGTGAACTCCCCATGACATTGCTTTCTTTTTTCTCCAATCCATGTGTGTATATAATATATATATATATATATATATATATACATTCTTATTTTTATAACATTAAATTAAAATTTAAAATATAATTCTAATCAAAACAATAGATTTTAAGTGTCATATATAAATCACCAAAAATATATGTAAACTACTGAAGAAAAAAAGTGTTTATGTCTAATTAATTAGACTTTGGTTATGTCTAAATATTTTAAATTCGTATAGAACTAAGAATGATTTATATTTTAATTATAAATACGAACGTAATATCAAGAAATGTAATTGAGAGATGTTTTAGTAATTTGTAAAGAAAAAAAAAAACCAATAAAAAATACTTAGAATTCTAAAGTGCAAAATCAAATATTATTGCACTACAAGAAAAACAGAAATCAAACGGCAACGGTTTTCAATTATTTAGTGACGGTTTTGTCAGATGATTGTGAATAGCAACGGTTACAGCGACGACTACAAAAAGACTATTAAAAATATGTATTATGTGGTTCGAAATAATTTTATTTTTAAATAAGAAATCGAGAATAATTGATTAAGACATCGATATAACACATGCAACAATGCGTGCAAAGCTACGTTCGGTTTATTCATCGACAACTTCCAAATGTCTCTGAATCCTTTTCTGTTTTACGGCATCGCTTGCTAATTAGTAACGTTTTTAATCGCTAAATTTTGTTTTTCTTATAGTTAAGTAGGGGAGGTTCGTGTGTTAATCTTATTCTGTTTCTACTATATAAAACCAAATATTAAAATTTTATTATATATTTCAAAGTTTTTTCCTGTTATAATTCAATATAATTCCCATTCCTTGTATCGTAGGTGTATGTGGTGAAAGTATTTCCCCTATAAAGCTTGTTTTACTGTAATTATCCAAGATGCCAGGTACTTGATAAGCTCTCGCAGAAATAGCTTCTATTTTATATATATAAATTACTAAACTAGTTCAAAATTTTGGTACTTGTTGTAGTTTGGACCTTAATATTTTTTTGTTATAATATGAGCTCTACCAAGATTTTAATTATCCCAAATATCCAGTTTTTTTATTTATTATTTTGTAATAGAAAAAGTTTAAATAATTATATTATATTTGAATACTTGATTAAATTAATAACTCAAAAATATTTTTAACTAATTAATAAAAATATTAAGTCAATTTTTTTATCATTATTAATATAATTTAACTATTTTATACATTTTTAGTTAGTAAATAAAAGAAAACTAGACGTTAATGAATAATCATATCCCCAGTTTGATAATTTATCTTATATATTTTTATTAAGATAAAACTTATTTAAATCTTGTTTTTATATAGTGAATAGAGTATTTATAGACTTTCTTGCCAACACAGTATACATACACATGAATATTAATTGATAATCACGTGCTTGAAGCCTATACTAAAAAAAAATATATATATATATATATATATATGTATAATTTTTAATAAAAATTTAAATTTTATTTACAAATATCTGTGAAATTTATACATATATATATATATATTTATATTTACAAAAACACGTAATAAATAATAATTAAAAATCTATTGATAAGCACACAATAGATAATCTGCAGAGATAATCAATTGAAGCAGAGATAATCTGCAGTGAGAGGCCTGAAAATATGGCTAGCCACATTCTCTATAAACTCCAATTGCTCCTTTAGAAGATGCATATACACCACCCAATCGCCATTGATAGTGGCACTGGGCATTGGCATAACATACCCAGTCTGGCCGCCCCATGGGAAATGGTAAGATCCAAAAATTGGTCTTCCCCATCCGAAATCTATCTCGCACACTGGAAATCTTTGACCTGAAGACACCACAAATGCGGGTCCATCATTGGATCCCTCCTTATAAATTTTAGCTACAGTTGGTTGCGGTCGGTGCGCCTCCACCCAATCAATAAGTCCTAAGAAATGGTCTCTGTTTAACGCATTTTCTATGAAACGGTGCACCTCGTTAGCCACCCAGAACAAGGGCCTCTCAACCAGCTCATTCACTTTATGTTCACCATATGGAATTGACAACACATTTCCGAAGTAAGAGGCCATGATTTTTGCAGTTTCGTTTCTTTCATTGCTAAACCTTGTTCTTCCGTCTACGATAATTCCCATTTTGGAGATCATCTTGTTGTTTTGCTCTGCAAATTGGGCCATTAATTTCCAAAGAAAAGCACTGAAAGATTCTAACTTACTTCTTGGGATGCCATTGGAACTGGCAAGTGATTGGAAATTATACAAGTGTTCAGCTTTGATGTAATAGATACGACTGAGAAGGTTTTCAGTGTGTTGATGAGAAATTTTGGATAAAGAAATGGTTTGAAAAAGTTGGTCAATGAAGGGGTCAAGATGCGACGGATGGCGAGGATTTAAGAGAGAGCGCCTGAAACATGGAATCACAGACATGGGAGTAGATCTAGCCATTTCCGCCCATGATACGAAAAACATATTTGTAGAGTATGCATCTGCTATGCGATGATCGAAGGTGCATCCAATCACTACTCCGCCACATTTCAGTTCAGTTGTCTAAACAAATTTATTTATAATAAACTTTAATAGAACGTTGCAATTTAAATTAAATATTAATTAATATATTTTAAGATCATTTTTAACTTATAAGAAACTATTTAAAATAAAATAAGGAGATTTACTGATCGACTTCAGCCAAATTCTGTCTACTAATATCAATTACGTCAGTTGAGGTTAGTCAACGAGACCAGTGGATATGATTAATACATTAACTATTACTAATTAGAAGTTTTAATTCATCCATGCATGTGTATAATATATATATATATATATATATAAGGGAGTTCTTCCGCCCATGGCTGTACGGGAGGTTCAAATTCATCGATGCGTATACATGCAAATGTACATATGTAAAGAAGTGTTTTCGCCTCTTTACGATGAGTATGATTTCAAGTACTCCACAGAAAATTGTAAAAGATTTTGTTATTTATCCACATATTTTATTTATATATATATATATGGGGGAGTATTTTCACCCATTTGTGAGTATGAGAGTGTGGTTTTTTTTTTTAATTTTGAAAATTAATCGGTGATTCTAATTTAAATAAATGTGTTACTAATTAATTAATCAAAAGCACTAACCTGAACGGAGAGCACGCCGCGCTTCTTCTCAGGAACAAGTTTGCCTTGAATGGAGGCGTCCGGATTATACAAATCAAGATTTCGAAGCTCAACATCGGCATAAGCCTCGATAAAATCGACGCCGCGGTTGTTGCAGAGCAGCTCCGGCTCGCCGGCAGAGTTGAGGAGGAGCTCGCCGGCGAAGGCATAGTACGAGACGATGGTCTCGGCTAAGGATTTCTTGAGAACGGCAACCATGGCGGCGAAGCTCATCGCGTCGGAATTTGAGTAGCAGAAGAAGACGCTAACGTCGACTGGAGGCAAAAGCAAGTCGAGGTTGGAGAGAGGAAGCCAATGCTCCTGTAATGGCAGCAATGCTCTCACCACCTCCTTCTTCCTCACTCTCACCGTGAAGTCTCCGGTTGCAGACATTTTCACACAGAGAGAGGGAGAAAGTATAGGCAAGATCTGGTTTGATTGAGGACGAAGGAGATATTGGGTTGAATTTATAGGGAACTGATTTACTCGTTACCATTTAAAAAAAGAATAAAATAATAATTATATTAATTGATTTTCTTAAACAAAAAAGTAAATGTACCATTTATGTTATATTTTAATAATAAAACAATTTATTTTAATATTAATAAACAATAATAAAGTTTATTTTTAATATTAAGATTAAACAATTATTTAATCAAAAACTAAAATATGTAGGTTGGCAATGTTATCTATATATATATACATATAAATTATACTGAAAATTGCTATATGTATTTTTTAATAAATTTAAAAATAATGTGTCAAAATTAATTATAAATACATGTGTTACATAAAGATAAAAGTTTTAAATGTTATCCATTTAAATTCTAAAATATAAAAATGAAACTAATGTGATAATTATAATTATATATTATATAACTTTAAACATCATTCATCTAAATTCTAAAATACAAAATTAAAATTAATATGATAATATATATAATAATTATAAAAGGAACCAACTTTTCCGTCATATCAGATTGACTAACGAACTTTCTATTCGATTATTAATCAAATCAACCATGAAATGGGACTAACCAAATCAATTTTCTTAATCAATTTGATACATTTAATTACTTTGATTCAATTGATACATTTAATTACTTTGATTCAATTGGTTTTTGCTGACCGTATATGCCTATGACAAAGCTAAAAACATTAATAAAGTTAATTTAGGAGAAAAAGCCTTTTGCAATTGTTTGATTTTAGATTCACAAAAACTCTTACACAATATATATATATATATATAAGAATCATAACATATTCACATTTCTTATTTATGAGATATATCTCCTATTATGTTAACACTCTCTTCAAAACCAAGGCGGATGCCTTGACATTAACTTGAGATTGAAAATTGAGTTTTGAAGATGACCAAGAAGATTAGTCTTGGTAAAAATTAGTTTTATGATTTGATGAAGATATAAAAACCAAGTTGAGAATGTTCTAAAGCCACATATTATAATTATCAGACAAAGTTATAAAAATAAGTGGTAATTAAAACATTTTTTATTGGAGAAGCAAATTGTAGAAGTAGAAGCAAAAGGCAATTTTCAAAAGTTCAAATCAAGAAAAGAGTGAGGTTGAAAAAAAACATGTTGGCGAGACAGGCTAGTGTGATGACTAAGATGGTTATTAAACATATATTGAGGTGCTAGTGTTAATATGAGCACTGATATAAATAAAATCAATTTTGAACAAGGGAGAGATGTTCAATAGAGAACAGAGAACTAAAGCATATTCAAAAAGAATTGAATTGGAAAGTAACATGACATGTGCTACTGTGTTCACTATTGGTCAGAGTCATGACGACAAGGGAGGACTGATCAACAGTTATACTTTTTGGTGAGAATAAATGCAAATAGAGGACTAAATTAAAGTTATATGAGCATCAAAATCATGGTTGATAAGAATTCTTCATTGAAGGATTAACCAAATATAGATATAAGGGAAAGTAGTGGATAAGGATCAAAACTAATGGTTGGGAAATTTGTATGATATTGGAAAGAGTTGCATAAAAGATATAGAAACTAAAGTAGTTCTCATAATGGAACTTTATTCTTAAACATTCTCCTTCATGTGAAATAGAATATTGACTTATTAAGCAATACAAAGCTATGGGGCAAAATGGACTCTAATACCACGTTAATTTAGAGAAATACTTATCAAATTGATTGATTTGGCCTTCACATAGTACTACTATTTATTTATGTATACATTAACTTATATTAAAAATAATTCATATAAAATACTACTAACATACACATTGCTTGTTTAAAAGACTTATTTCTTATTAGATTAAGTTTATTTATAAGATGTATCTTGTATTATATCCAGAAACAGAATGATTATAAACTCTTCTTTAGTATAAAAAATCTTTATCTCTTTTTGTCTTTTTTGTTTCTCGTTAAAAAGTATATACATTTTATCTTAATTATTTATAAGTTTGTATTAGACGTTAGTTTCACTTTAAAAATATGACGTGACTTTTATATATGAATATGATAATTGATAATCACAAGACTAATTGCTAATAGTAAAAAAATAAAAAAAAATAAATAAAAAAACTCGCAAGATTATTTAGAAAGAGTTGGGAAAAAAATTAAGAAGACATGGTATTGGGTGGGCAGGCAAGGAAAGAGTGAATATGGTATTTGGTTTGGTAGAAGGTTTTCAACTTAAGTGAGTAAAAGTTGAAAGGTGATATGTAAGATGATGATTAGAGAATTTAATCCAAAAGGAGCAAATTATAGTACATAAACAATTTGTTGGTGAAGTATTCAAACCAACCAAATTAAAAACTCTTTTTTGTTATTTTCCTAATTTTAATTTCTTACCAACCTTAATAACTTTTAACTAAACTTCAAATATTTACTCCAAAAAAAAAAATAAATTTTTTTAAAAAAAAGGGATGTCACATGTTATAATATAATACAAAATCAAAAGGTTTGGTCTTTGCCATTCACCAAATTCCTCCTTTCTTTTTGGCAAGGAATTGAAGACATGAGAACAAAAGATTCCATTTTGAAATGAGAAAGTAACTTAGATGTTATCCCATACTACATATCAATTATTATTTTTAATTTTAATATAATCTTTTATTAGGTAGTTAAATAGAAAACTTTAATTAATTTTGATTTAAATGTGAAGGTCCAACAAGTATTCTGTCAATTTCTAACAGCTAAATGAATATACACCTCTTCCTCATAAAACCAATATATCTCTTAATGACTAACAAATTCAACGGCAGCCATTAATGCTCTTCTTAGGATTCTCGTGTTTCATCTAAAGATAAGAAATAAAATAATGAATTATTGTAGAAACCTTTTATCCCATGTATCCATTTCTTATGTATTTTTAATATTTATTCATATTTTTATATCTCTTACACTAAAAGTTAATTTATAAAATAATATTTATCTTTAAATCAATATTTTTTTTTTTCTCATTTTATTATGCCCATGAATTTTTAAAATTACATAAAAATATTATCTCTCTTCTGTGTAGAATAATAAATCGTTAACTACTTAATATTGTTACTTGAATTTTTAATATATAATATGTACTTTTTACAGTACATATTATACTTAATAACTAGTATAACTAAATTATATAAAAGTAACTTCAATATCTTAATATAAAAGTATACCTCATCTTCTTCGATTCATCTATTGTGGAATTAAACCTAAAGTACACTCCTACATAATATATTAACTATTACTCGATACATAATGAAATCTCATCAATAATTTAATTTCAAGCAATTTCAGTGAACTTGTTCATATAATAAATACACATACCATTGATATGTTGAGATCCACATCAGTGTCTAAAAACATCAAATATGCAATAGTATGTTCTTGAAAGAGTGGATATGAAGATGCAAAACCCAATATGGATAAAAACTAACATTGAGAATAATCAATAATTAATGTGGACAATACGGTTTCTTTCACAAAGGAAAATTTATAAAAAAAAAAAAAAAAAAAAAATCTCTAGGTTGGGTTATATTGATCCTAACGTATGTCTATTAAAATAATCATGCACAACTCAAGGTGCATTAATGTCACCATGATCACCAAGGTCCATCATCACCATCACCAATCAAATTACAAATATCAGAACACTCTACCAGGCTGCATTATTACGACCAACTTTCAATTAGTAAACATATTATAAGGGAAACTATATTTACACATGGGATATGAACAGCTCATGAAAGAGTAATTCGATAATGACATTGCAACTAGAATAACCCATTACCTCCTCAATTATGTCCATAATGTTAGAACCCGATTTCTATGAATATTTTATTAAATGGTTTTTGGGATGGTTTTGATGACAGAAAATTAACTTGTTTCAAAATCAAATCTTACTTGGGCTTCATTAAATATTTCAAAAAGAGTGATTATCTTTTGGTGAAAAAAGTTGAAATAGAAATTTAAGCAAATTCCAAAACAATCCTCAAGAAGTCTCAACCCCAAGCAAGTTTTGATTCTCATTACGATAATTAGAAATGAAATATTTTAATACCACTTAAATTTTATGTATAATTTATATATATATATATATCTGCAACAAGGGTATCCGTACCCAATATAAAGCCCTTGATATCCTTTTTGACAATAAAGCACAAAAAGTTTGGAGCTAAATTTTTTTAAGGATTATATTTAATAGTCTATAAGTAATGGCTGCGTTGTCCTCTACAAATAAGATCCTTACATGAACACTTCAGGCAATAAAGAAGTTGAAGAAATGAGTTAGAGTATTATATTTCAAATTGAGGGCCACAATTTATAAATCAAACTTTTTAGCGATTTTGATTTTCTGGTCATTCCTTAAGTTGAAAAAATCTTGGCGCGAGGGTGCTCGTAAAACTAAGCTAGCACAGACTAATTCTGAAGTGGCTATGAGTGAGCCAATTAAAAAGGCAACACTATAGACTTCAGTGAAGATCTAGATCTATGGAAATAGGATATTCTTTCACCATTCAGAAATACATTGATCTAGGTTTATTGGGTGACCAAGTTTATGACTTCTTTCAACCTTAGTGTTACAAAAGGTAAGGGTTTATAGATTCCACCTTGGTGATCAAAAAGGTAGTGTACTAGCTATATTTTAGCCATCAAAACACACTATAATATTTGAAGGTTTCAAATTCTTGATTAAATAGTTAAAAGTAGTAGACATAAGTCATTCAAGCATATCATATATCCTTATAAATTATTGTGTTCTTTTACTTTATGTTTATTTAGTTATTTTTACTACATAATAAGAAAAATAAAATTAAGATTATATTTTATTTTTGGTTTATTGTCAACTCATCCCCTTTAATTGTTCACCATTACAACCTAACAGTTAGAACCAAAACACAATTGTCTCATTATTTTGTAGATGTAACAACTTAAAAAGAGATCATAA